GGGGGCCCAAGGCAGCCAGGCAGCTGGCCAAGAACACCTGCCATCGCTAGAAGCCGCCCGTCCAGGTGTGACACTGAAAGGAGAGCTGTGAGGTCCAGGAAGGCTCAAGGAAGGGCCCACCACGGCACAGCCAGGCTCACGGGCCAACCGAACCCGGCACCCTCCACCACAGGCCTTCCCGCTGCCAAGCCAGGTCCCCCAGGCGGCTGACCCTTGGGCTCCACCACCTGCTTGGCAGGTGACGGTCCCTCGTTTTACAGACCAGTAAGCAGAGGCCCCTCCAAAACGTGTGATCAGTTGCCTAGCTTCCATGGGGCGGGGCCTCCAGAGGGGAGGAAGGCGTGCTCCCTTGCAGGCTACTTCCTGGAGCAGGGCTATGCTGGAACCAAGCGTCCAGAGAGAGTGCTGGTCAGGCTCAGTCCAGCTGCTACTGTGTGCCCTCGGCAAGCCCCGCCCTTCTCTGGGCCTCCCCCCTCCCCTGGGTGGGAGGAGGGAGGCGGCAGCAGGTCTGAGATGCTGGGACGAGCCCCAGGAGAGCTGTCCCGTGCGCACGCGGGCAGGGGCGGCAGCACTGCAAAGGCGGTCAGCCCGGCCCGCACAGCGGCCTCGCACTCTGCAGCTGTCAGGGCACTTGGCCTGGCCCAGAACGCCCCGGCAGGTCTGCTGTGCCACCAAGGGTGGGGACCGAGGCAGAGGCCGGAGGCTGTCTTTATCCTCTGCAGGTGGCCCAGCTGCAGGCCATTCTCCTGGTCCCAGCAGGGCTCTGGGAGCTGTGGGCCTCGTCACTTATGCTCTGGTCCCCTGCTGATGTCCAGGCCCTGGGACAGCTTAGGACTGCATGCTCCTGCCACGTTCCCAGGGAGGCGAAATGCCATCCCGTGGAAGTCACTGGCCATGGGGTGTGAGCTCTCTGTCTTTGCCAGTCCTCACCTAAGTGCCCTCCAGGTCTGACATCCCTCCTCTGCCCCCATCTGCGTCCCAGCACCGGCCACACAGCAGCTCAATGATGACAGCACCACCTGGTGGCCACAGTGGGAAGTGCTGAGACACGGCACCTTGGGGCCACTTCCGGGCCTCTCCCCACCCAGCTGTAAACCTTGACCTCTGCCCAGCCACTCCTCCCAAAGACACCCAACTCACTCACTCTCCTCCTTCCCAAGCATCTTCCTGCCCACTCCAGCCTCACACAGCGTCAACCTCTCCACCTCCAGCTTCGAGCCCAAAGACAAGCCTTGGCTGGTCAGCTCAGGTGACCTGGCGTGACATGAAAAACATGGAAAGCGGCCCAAAGTGCCTTGCACAGCCAGTCACCCCACCCTGCCTGCTCACCAGCCAATGTAGTCGCCAAACCTGCTTTTTGTCCAGTGACAAATCTGTGCCGAAGGTTTGCAAGGATCCAGGCCCCAGGGCAGGGCTGGCAGGGGTTCTGGTAGGGGGTCGCAGGGGAGGGGGTGGAGTCACAGGTGAGCGAGTGGGGCCAAGTGAGGGGCACAGCGTCAGAGGACTGGGGGACCTGGTGGGTAGGGCTGTCACAGGGGTCTCCACGGCCACACGGGATGTTCCTGGGGATATGGAAATGACCTAAAGTTGTGTCAGGAAACCCCTGAGAAGTGCCTGACTGTGTACCTAGCCGAGCGGACTTTATGGCATGCCAATTATCCTGCAATAAAGCTGTTAAAAATTAAAAAACTGACGAGGGGCGGAGCTACTCGGGTCGGAAGCCACAGCGCACACGGCGGCGCCAGGAAAGGAGCAAGCTGGCAGCAGCGGTGGGGCCTTGGGGGGGGGGGGGCGCGGGGAATGGGCTGCCAGCGGGAGCCTTGGCCTCACTCCTGCCAGGCTGGTGACCTTGAGCAAGGGGCTTCACGTCCCAGGGCCAAGATGTGGACATGAAAGAGAGGAATGTCTAGAACGTCTACAGGGCCAGAAAAGATGAAATGACTCCAAGTTCAAAGACAAGGGCAAGGGAGGTAGCCTGGCCTGACTGCACCCCCCTGATGCCCACCCTGGATCCCTAACCCCGAGGATTCAGGAGGTCGAGGCCCCTGTGCGTCCGCCTTGGGAGGATACGGACGAGTCGGCTGCCAGCGAGTCAGCGGCCCTCTCCTGACACCCAGCCCGGCAGCACCAGGAGGAAGGGCACGTGGGCCCCGACTCTGGCGGGCGTCTGAGGGCAGCAAGGGCTCTGTGAAGGTGCCAGGTGCTTCCTGGATTCCCTCACCCCTGCCAGGGCCACTGCGGCAGGAATGCTGGGTGGAGGGAGGAAACCTCAGGTGTGTGGGCTGCAACATCGTAACCCAGGGTAGACTCAACCATGGGAACAAAGGCAGCAGGGCTGAGGGAGGGAGCGGGCACCCCACCGCCAGCCACGAGTACACAGCCAGCGGCACTTCCCAACCTTGGCCATGATGGAGGCATTTACAGAAACCGGCAAGTGCAGTGAATCAGTATTTGGTTCCCTTCAGAGAGATAGTCGTTTGACATTTACCAGCGAGCAAGAGAGCAAGCGAGCATGTGTGTGTGTGTGTTACAGAGGGCTTCTAGAAACACAGCATTGAGACCTGCAGGAAGCCTATCAATTCAGTAGATGAGGAAGGCAAGAGGTGGGACAGGGGAAGATGGTGGCCCATCCCACTAAGGGTGTGGAGGGCTGAAGGTGCAGAGAGATGCAGTCAGAGCTTGGGTCTGCCACCAGGCCAGAGCAGAGACTAGGAGCTGGCCAGGGGACACCCTGGAGGATGCGAGCCGGGGAGGCACAGTCGGGACAAACAGCCCCACAGCAACCACCTGCCGTCGGCTTGCTTGTATCCTGCCCAGGGCCCCTCTTCATCTCTGCTACCGATGTTGGCTCCCAGCTCCTCTGCCTTGCTCAGAGCCGCTTCTCTCTGCCCTTACTGGGTGCTCCTGGGGGCTGGCCCTGCCCAGCCCCTGCCCACTGACCAGGGCAAGCTCTGCTGGCCAGTTCCAGCCTCAGCGCTCCTCCAGCCAGCCTTGCAGGAGTGGCAGGGGACCCTTCCCCGTGCCCCCACGGCAGAGGAGGGCGAGGCCTCACTGCGGGCTGACAAGAGCCCACAGTCCCCCTCGCAGCCTCAGCCAGTTCTGTTCTGGATTTTACTGCTTGCCACTAGACTCCCAGCCAGGGCCTTTCCTAAGCAAATAATCCAACAATTGCCAAGCCCCACTTCCTGGTGTTCCTCTTTTGTTTCTCTTTGATTACTTGAAATTTTTTTTTGCCATGTGTGCCTTGCTTTCATAATTTAAAAAAAAAATGCAAAGCTCTTTTGTTTTCAAAAACAACAAAACAGATCCAAAGCCTGCTTGCACGGCCACACCTGGCGTGGCTGGTCTCCGACGGGGGCAGTTTGCTGGCTCAGCCCTGGCGCGCGAGCTGTGGTTCACGAGGAGCTGCTAGGGACCCCACTCTCGCTGCCCTGGGGAACTCCTGCCCAGCCCCTTCCCCCCTTCCCGGCCAGAGTGGGAGGCAGACTTTGCCCCGCCTGGAGCCGGCTCTTTGCAAGGACTTCCTGGGATCGGACTCTGAGATTATGATCTTTATTGAACATCTGTGGGTTCCTACAACCTTGGCACAGGCTGCAGCGGCCAGCCGGGCAGGGCAGGGCAGGGCAGGAGTGGCCTGAAGACCAGCCTGCCCTCAGTGGCCTCTGGGGAGGCAAGCGGCTTCCCCTCTCCTGAGCCCCACTCCGCTTCCTCCTCTGGCCGGGGAGCAGCACCGGCGTTGAGAAAGCGGAGCCGGAGGCGGAGGGGCACTCCCTGGCGTGGGCAAACCCAGGGCGGGCGGAGCACCTCGTGCGCCGCCCCCTCCACCTGCCAGGGCCGCCTCAGGAAGGTGCTGGGATCCATCCCTTTCGAGCTGCCCCAAGTGCTCACCAGCAGTCAGCTCCACAGCCAAGCTCTTGACCTGTGCCCCACGGGGCCCGGAGCATGATGGGCTGTAGCCAGTGAGGCGACACCCCAAGAAGGGGTCCTCGCCAGCTTCCTGCTAAGGCGCACTGGGAAGCAGCAGATGGCTCAGGTTCCTGGGCCCTGCCTCCCACACAGGAGTTGTGGATGGAGTTCCAGGCTCCTGGCTTCCGCCTGACTCAGCTCTGGCCGTTCCTAGCAATTAGGGAATAAACCAGCAGACCAGGAGATTCTCATTCTCATTCTAATAAATAAATTTAAAAAGCTTCCGTGATAGCAAAAGACAAACTACAGGGGTTTAAAAACATTTGCAACAGCTAAGACACCAGGGGTTAAAGGCCTGTCATAGCCCTAACATCCGGAGAAGAGGGTTCCAGGAGAAGGAGAAAATAGCCAATTAAGATTTGAAACCAAGCATCGAGTAAATGCAAATTAAGCCTACAACGAAATAACATCGTCCTGCCAACCTGACTGGCAAAACGTGGGGCCGATTCAAAGGTGTCAGGGCGGCTTAGGGGGTAGTCAACAGCCGGGCGGGGGAGGGGCGCCGCCGGCTGAGAGGACCCCCCGCCGCGCAGTCCCTGCGAGGGACCCCCCCAATCCCCGCCAGCCTCACGCAGTCCCCGCGAGGGAGCCCCCATCCCGGCCAGCCCCGAGTGGGGAGGCGCCGTCGGTGCGGACGGCGTGAGTGTGGACGGCGACGCAGGGTAAAGGCAACCCCGTGGACCGCTGCCCGGTCCAGCCCCGCGGCGACCTGGGCGGGGCAGGGGGCGGTTGGGGCGCAATCTTAGTTTTTTCCTGCGCCGCACTCATACGCCCTGAACCCCGGCATTCGGGGCGGACGTGGTGGTGTTCGCCGCTGGCCGGGGGACCTGGGGCCCTGCGCACAGCAGGCGCCCACCGACTGCGGGCAGAGGGCACCGAGGGGCCCCCTGGGGACACTGAGCTTCCCGCCGGCCTGCTGCCTCTGAAACCGCTCTCTGGGCGAGGACCCCGCAGCCAGGTCCGGGCCGCCGGGGTGGACACGGGCGCGCCCTCGGGCGCCCCACCCCCGGCGGGAGCCCGCGCCCCTCGCTCACCCAGCATCTCCTTGCGCCGCTGCGTGTGCGGCTGGTCGGTGTAGACCCACTCGAAGTCGCTGCGGCTCGTGCTGCTGCCCATGGTGGCGCCGGGGAGCGCGGCTCGGAGCGCGGCACGGGACGCGGCGCACGGCCCGGCTCTGCTCCACCTGTCGCGGCGCCCGGGCGCGCGGGACTAGTTCAGGTGCCCGGGGCGGGGCGGGGCCACGGGCGGGGGCGGAGCCAGGTGCGCTCTGCGGCGGAGGCCGCCAGAGCCCGGCGGCGTCCAGACCGGGAGCCGGGCGCCGTGGCTCTGGTTTCCTCGGCTGGGAAGCGTGGCCTGCGGGATCGTGCGCGACCCACGGGAGTCCTCGGCCCCTCGCTGCGCCCGGCGCGCGCTCCGCGGTCCGGACCCTCTCGCGTCCCTCCTACTGCGGGGCAGAGAGTAGCCGCGCGCACCGGCGGGCAGGAGGGAGGTGCGGGCGCAGGTACGGATGCGACAGGTGCCAGTGCAGCGGACAGGACCCACAGGAGGGGCGCTGTGTGCCCAACGATCCGTGCCAGGTGAGTCACAGCCGCTTCTGCCTCCGGGAACCTGAGTTCTGACCGGCACGCAAGTACGGACGTCATTCAGAGTGGAGCCTGCAGTGACAAAGGTGGCCCTGGCTGCCACGGTCAGGACAGTGGACTTGGGTGCTTTGGCCTGGACGATGAGTGGGCGGCCCACGTTCAAGGCCTAGGAGGAGGACTGTGGGTGGGACAGGGAGGAGGGAAGCAAAGGCTCGGAAGCCAGGAGGGTCTCAGGCCTGGCGGAAGGGAGCGCAGAGCTCTCCATCTCGCCCTCTCTCTCCTTGTTCCTGCTCTTCTGGATTTTTGGAGCCAGTCCTTGGTGTACCTGAAGGCCAGAGCCTGGCTTCTTCCGGGAGCCGGCTGCATACCCAAGGCAGACCCGGGCTGGCTCCTGCTGCTGGAAGGCCATAGCCCACTGGTGTGGTACATTTGGCAGGCCTCCCTCAGCCCAGAGCCACAGGCAGTCCTGGTGTGAACCAGGAGAGAAGACACGGGCTTGGGTGGCTGCCGGGGCCAGCCCCTGTGTGAGCAGTGAGACAGTGAGAGGACATCGAGGCCCGATTCCCCACCCAACAGGAAGAGCCTAGAGCCCAGCGTTGCCAGCCCCTGTTGCAGCACCCCACGGGGTCACCCACCTAGCCTGCACAGCTGCAGAGACAGAAGACGCATGGCTCCCTGGGCAGCCAGAAGGGCCCTGAGAAGCCGTTCCACCAGCCATCACTTCACAGAGGAAACCAAAACCCAGAGATGGGGGGCACCCCAGGGAGAGGGCCCCAGCCCCTGCCTCGAAACACGGCTGAGCTCAGTAAACCTGGAGTTTGTGCCCCAGGAGACACCGCCAGGCCTGCCTGCCTCGGTCCTGGGGCCTGGCCTAAAACTTGACCCAGATTCTTACCCCGAGACACCTCCTGTCCAGACAAAACTTGCCCCATGGCCTCCTGTCACAGATGAGGGAATGGAAGCCAACCTGTGAGTAACCAGAGGACAGGCGAGTGAGACGTGGGAACGGGAGAAGCTCAAGACACACAGCCCCCGATCAGTCCAACCAGGAAGACCCAAGGCCAGCTAAGACCAAGCAGCTCAGCATCACGGGGCAGGCTTTGGGTCTAGTTAAGATACTAGTTAAGGATACTAGTTAAGGAGCCCTATGGCGTAGTTGGTTAAGCCCCTGCCTGCAATGCCAGCCTCCCATATGGGCACTGGTGCAAGTCCCAGCTCCCTGCTAATGAGCCTGGGGAGGCAGCAGAGGATGGTCCTGGTACTTGGGCCCCAGCACCCACATGGAAGCTCCTGGCTTTGGATTGGCCCAGCTCCAGCTGTTGCAGCCACTTGGGGAGTAAATCATGGATGGAAGATCTCTCCCTCTCTCACTCTCTCCCTCTCTCGCTTGCTCTCTAGCTCTGCCTTTCACATAAATAAATCTTTTTTTAAAGGCACCAGTTAAGAGGCCTGCACCCGCATTGGAGTGTGCGGGCTTGACTCCTGCTCCAGCATTGCTGGAGGTGGTGCTGATGGCTAAGTAGTTGGGTCCCTGCTACACATACAAGATCTGGAGTTCTCAGCTCCTAGTCCCAGCCTGGTTGAGTCCCAGCCTTTGTAGGCATTTGGGGTGTGAACCAGCATATCAGAGCTCTGTCTCTCAAATAAATATTAACAAAACAAACTCGGTTTCAAGATGATGAACTTGGGGCTGGTGTGGCGGCACAGCGGCTTGAGCGGCTGCTCTCAGTGCCGGCATCCCGTACTGGAGCAGCTGTTCACGTGCCGGCTGGCTCTGCTCCCCAGCCAGCTCCCTGCTCATGGGTCTGGGAAGGCAGCAGCAGATGGTCCAAGTGCTTGGGCCCCTGACACCAAGGGGGAGACCCTGATGGAGCTCCTGGCTCCTGGCTTCAATCTGGCCCAGAGCCTCCGCCATGGCAGCCATGTGGGGAGCGACCAGTGGATGGAAGATCTCTCTCCTCTGTAACTCTGCCTTTAAAATACATAAATAAATCTTTAAAGAAAAATAAATAGATCTTTTTTAAAAAAGTTTACTAATGAGAACACAAATGTATCTGCAACATGCTGTTCGGAAGGGGGGCCTGGAATAGGGAAAGGACGTTGGGGAGACACTCAGGACATCTGGATAATCGGGGAGACACTCAGGACATCTGGATAAAGGAGACAGATAACACGACGGTGTGGTCCATTACTTGTGAAAATGCACCATAGTATTAGATTAAAATAAGGAACATTTTTTAAAGATTTTTTATTTATTTGAGAGGTAGAGTTACAGAAGTGAGAGGGAGAGACAGAGAAAGGCCTCCCTTCCATTGGTTACGCCCCAAATTGCTGCAACGGCCGGAGCTGCGCCGATCCAGGTGGTTCTTTCTCGTCTCCCACGTGGGTGCAGGTGCCCGATCACCTGGGCCATCTTCTGCTTTCCCAAGCCACAGCAGAGAGCTGGATCGGAAGAGGAGCAGCCGAGACTAGAACTGGCGCCCATATGGGATGCTGGCACCTCAGGCAGAGGATTAACCTACTGCACCACGGTGCCAGCCCCAAAATAAGGAACATTTAATGTGGGTGTATGTCACCTTTCCATAGTATCATCACAACTTTCTGTAAATCTAAAACTGTCCCAGAAATTAATCCATGCACACGAAGCCAGGTGATTTTTGCAAAGTGCCAAGAACATACATCGCACAAAGGATAGGCTTCCCAATAAGTGGTGCTGGCAAAACTGGAGACACGTGTAGAAGAATGTCACCGGGTCCCTATCCCCCACCACACTCAAACATCAACTCAAGATGGATCAGAGGCCTAAATGTAAGCCTGGAAACTGTGCTAGAAGAAAACACAGGGGAAATCCTTCCAGACACTGGTGTACGCCATGACTTCTTAGACAAGAACAAAAGTACAGGCCACAAAGCAAAACTAGACAAATGGGATTTCATCAAATTTAGAAAAGCAAAGGGAAAAAAATCAACAGAATGAAGAAACGTCTGACAGAATGGGAGAAAATACTTGCAAGCTACTTATCTGACAAAGGATTAATATCCAGAATATAACAGAAACTCAACTCAACAACAACAAAAAACAAACCAATTAAGAAACTGGCAAAGGACCTGAATAGTTCTCAAAGTAGAAATACAAATGGCCAACAAATATATGAAGAAATGCTCAACATTGCTGGCCACGAGGGAAATGCAAATCAAAACCACAGTGAGATGCCACTCCTTCCTGTTAGGTTGGTTATTATCAAAAACCAAAAAGTAGGAAATGCTGGCATGGAAATGGAGAAAGGAAACCCACACACTGGTGCTGGGAATGTGAATTAGTGCAGCCGCTGTGGAAAGCAGTGTGGAGATCTCTTTAAAAGCCAGAACTGGAACTGCCACATGACAGACAATCCCACCTCTGGGTATGCACCCAGAAGACAGGGACACCCACTTCCAGTTGGTGACGGCTCTTATTGCAGCACTGCTCACAACAGCCAAGACACGGAATCAACCAGGAGCCCACCAGATCAGTGGATAAAGAAGTGTGGTGTATATACACAATGGGATACTAGTCTGTCATAAAAAAGAATGAATTCTGTCATTTGCAGCAAAACAGATGGAACCAGAGGACATCACGTTAAGTAAGTTGATAGAGAAAGACAAATATTGCGTGTTCTCTCTCATATGTGGGAGCTAAAAACACCTGCTTAATCTAACCCAGAATGGTGATTGCTGGTAGCTGAGAAGCCTGATAGGGACAGAGGGAGTTTGGATAAAAAAAAAAAATAGGGGAAACTGGGCGTGGCTCATTAATTGTGACAGATATATTTACTAATATCTGATGTCACTGATAGGGGAGGTTGGGTGTGGCTGACGGAGTGTGACAAATATAGCACGCTAATAAAGGTTGTTACTTAACAACGAGGAAGTTGGGCGTGGGGTGCGTAGGAACCCTATGTACTGCTTCATAATGGTCGCTTTGTGAAAAACTATTCTGACATTAAAATGTTTTTTAAAAAATCTAGAACTGTTCTTAAAAATAGTTAACTGAAGGCTGGTACCGCGGCTCACTTGGCTAATCCTCCGCCTGCGGCGCCGGCACCCCGGATTCTAGCCCCGGTTGAGGCGCCGGATTCTGTCCCGGTTGCCCCTCTTCCAGGCCAGCTCTCTGCTGTGGCCCGGGAGTGCAGTGGAGGATGCCCCAGGTGCTTGGGCCCTGCACCCCATGGGAGACCAGGAAAAGTACCTGGCTCCTGGCTTCTGATCAGCGCAGCGTGCCGGCCACAGCGGCCACTGGGGGGTGAACCAACAGAAGGAAGACCTTTCTCTCTTTCTCTCTCTCTCTCTAACTCTGCCTGTCCAAAAAAAAAAAAAAAAAAAATAGTTGACTGAAAAAAATATCCCTTCCAAGCCTTTATACACACACACACACACACACACACACACACACGCCGAATCGGCGTCTTGGTGAATGACCCCACACATGACCGTGGTCTCGTGAGGTTGTGTTGCAGCTGGAAAACCTCTCTCCCCTGGCGATGCTGTGGTGTTGCACCTTCCTCACGTGTGTGGCGAAGCCGCCGTGAACTCTCCTCCCACCTGGCAGGCCTGCAACGTCGGGCACACACAGTTACACACACAGCGCGTGATACTTGGTAAGGATGATAAGCAACCGAGTTACTGGTGTCTGTCTTCATTCTTTTTTTTTTTTTTTTTTTTTTTTTTTTTTTTTTTTTTTTTGACAGGCAGAGTGGACAGAGAGAGAGAGAGACAGAGAGAAAGGTCTTCCTTTTGCCGTTGGTTCACCCTCCAATGGCCGCCACGGCTGGCACGCTGCGGCCGGCGCACCACGCTGATCCAATGGCAGGAGCCAGGTGCTTCTCCTGGTCTCCCATGCGGTGCAGGGCCCAAGCACTTGGGCCATCCTCCACTGCACTCCCTGGCCACAGCAGAGCTGGCTTGGAAGAGGGACAACCGGGACAGAATCCGGTGCCTCAACCGGGACTAGAACCCGGGGTGCCGGCGCCGCAGGCGGAGGATTA